GTATACAGCAGATTGCTCTTTAGATTAAATTAGAAGATTTTCATTTTCCCTGGACTTGTTTTCACTGTGGTCTTCCGTAGAGATATGACCTAACAGGTGATATCTGTGAAGAAGACTGCAGATCCCAGTGAAAACAGGCCTGGATAAAGTGAACAGCAAATACAGTGTGCAACTTATCAATGTGCAAAAATTATGACAAGTTTTTTCGTTCAGTCTGATGAGCAGCACAAACTACTCTAATGACTGCAGCTATCTGTGCAACTGCCCACAACATCTGCCTTGTCACTGTAATAATAATATATAATATCGTTCCCTAGCAGCTTTAGAAAGTTTGTCTGGCAAGGGTATCCGTTCAGTTTTCTTGTTCTTTTCCATTTAACTGATAATCCTCACTGCTGGCAGCGCTCTCCTCTTGTTTTCTGCTGTTTTGTTTTTCTTCCGCTCACCACAAAAATGGCGCTAGGGGGCGTGTCAGTCACGTGTCTGACAAAGACCGATAGCCCTCTACTTCGAAGGAGGCCCCGCCCACAGGCTGACGCGCGTGGGCGGGGCTCTTAGCACCAATTTAGAACAATACTGACGTCACAGCAGAGATGTGGGCGTGACCACGCCCCGATCTGCGACTGCATATAAACAGGCTGTCGGGCTGTCGTAGAACACTCCTCAGCCTGTCCAACCACGCCCTCTGCGGTCACGTGACTGTCTGGAATTTGTGCGGCAGCCTGTGACGTCACACCTTTGAAGTAGAAGGCTATATAAGAGAGAGGATCAGCTCATTCACTTAGTGAACAAGCTCAGGAAAGTTTAGCTTGTTTCATTGGACATCAGAACAATAATTGTCTGCATTCTACAAAGTTATTTTCTTGTGTGTATTTAGGTGAAGCAACTGATCATCAATCATGCCTTTCATCTATATCTGCATTGGATCCAAGGTAAGGAATTTATTTCTAGTGAAAAAGCAGGAAGAAGATTTTAATTCAAGCACAGATGAAGTTTCTGTCTCTCAACCTGATGGACACCATGATTCCACTGGGACTCAAACAGAACCTGAATATTTAACGGCTACACTTACAGAACCACAGACAGATTCAGACCCACCTGGAGGCTCCAGGTGTCCTCCACTGGTTCTGGTTGAAAGTGACAGTGATAGCCAGCAGGAACCGGGTCAAACTGAACTAGAACCTTATTGGAGGAGCCTGGTTAGCCGTGTCCTGACATGGATAAACATTCTTCTTAGATATGCTTGGAACACTTTTTGGAGAACTTGGAGGACAGTATCAGTTTTAGACCAAGCTAGAGTTAGAACCAGAATCATAGTTTTCTTCACTGCAGCTAAATTGCCTGCAGTCTTTAAAAAACTTAGAAATGTCTTCAGGTTAATTGGCCGTAGTTATCTGAGTGTTATCAATGGAACTTATCCACATGACCCTATTGTGGGTCCGTTTGCTTTAGTGATAGTTTATGATGTTCTGTGGAAATTTCCAAAAACTAGAGATTCTCTGATTATCTAACCCCCCCCCCCCCCCCCCCCCCCAAAAAATAAATAAATAATTGAAACAACCTAAACTCTTTCATGTGTTCCATCAAACTCTCGTACACAAACTTACATCTACTGTTAAACTCAATTAATTATTAATCTCTCTCTCTCTCTCCCCCTCTCTCTCCTTCCCTCTCTCTCCATCCCTCTCTCTCTCTCTCTCTCTCCCCCCCTCTCTCTCATCCATCATCCATCCCTCTCTCTCTCCCCCCTCTCTCTCTCATCCATCCATCCATCATCCATCCATCCCTCCCTCTCTCTCTCCCCATCCCTCTCTCCCCTCTCTTTAACTATGACCTCGATGACTGGGAATCTTCACGGGCTAAAGGACTGATCCCTGAGGGACTCCGCAGAGAAAGATGGATGGGGAGAGGGGGAGAGAGAGAGAGAGAGAGAGAGAGGGGGAGAGAGGGCGAGAGAGAGGGGGGAGAGAGAGAGGGAGGGAGAGATGGATGGGGAGAGGGGAAGAGAGAGGGATGGAGAGAGAGAGAGGGAGGGAGAGATGATGGGGAGAGGGGGAGAGAGAGGGATGGAGAGAGAGAGAGAGAGAGAGGGAGGGAGGGAGGGATGAGAGATGGAGAGAGAGAGAGAGATGGATGGGGAGAGGGGGAGAGAGAGGGAGGGATGATGGATGGGGAGAGGGGGAGAGAGAGGGATGGAGAGAGAGAGAGGGAGGGGGAGAGAGGGAGGGAGGGATGAGAGAGGGGGAGAGAGAGAGGGAGGGAGAGATGGATGGGGAGAGGGGGAGAGAGAGGGAGGAAGGGATGAGAGAGGGATGGATGGGGAGAGGGGGAGAGAGAGATATGGATGGGGAGAGGGGGAGAGAGATGGATGGGGAGAGGGGGAGAGAGAGGGATGGAGAGAGAGAGAGAGGGAGGGGAGAGAGGGAGGGAGGGATAGAGAGATGGATGGGGGGAGGGGGAGAGAGATTGATGGGGAGAGGGGGGAGAGAGAGGGAGGGATGATGGATGGGGAGAGGGGGAGAGAGATAGAGAGATGGATGGGGGGAGGGGGAGAGAGATGGATGGGGGGAGGGGGAGAGAGATGGATGGGGGGAGGGGGAGAGAGAGGGAGGGATGATGGATGGGGAGAGGGGGAGAGAGAGGGATGGAGAGAGAGAGAGGGAGGGGGAGAGAGGGAGGGAGGGATGAGAGAGGGGGAGAGAGAGAGAGATGGATGGGGAGAGGGGGAGAAAGAGGGGGAGAGAGAGAGGGAGGGAGAGATGGATGGGGAGAGGGGGAGAGAGAGAGATGGATGGGGAGAGGGGGAGAGAGAGGGAGGAAGGGATGAGAGAGAGATGGATGGGGAGAGGGGGAGAGAGAGAGATGGATGGGGAGAGGGAGGGAGAGGGATGGAGAGAGAGGGAGGGGAGAGAGGGAGGGATGGAGAGATGGATGGGGGAGGGGTAGAGAGATGGATGGGGGGAGGGGGAGAGAGATGGATGGGGAGAGAGGAGAGAGAGGGGGAGAGAGAGAGAGGGATGGATGGGGGGAGGGGGAGAGAGATGGATGGGGAGAGGGGGGAGAGAGAGGGAGGGATGATGGATGGGGAGAGAGAGGGAGGAAGGGATGAGAGAGGGATGGATGGGGAGAGGGGGAGAGAGATGGATGGGGAGAGGGAGGGAGAGGGACCATGGACCTACCTTAAATGAAGGCAACAGGGCGTGCTATCTCCGTACCAGGTCCTACTGTGCACAAACAAGCTATCCGAGAAAACCAAAAAGACTACTCAAAGTCACGCGCAAGGTACAGTCACCATGTTGTGGAAATTTCATTAGAAACAGGCCTGGAAATTCCAAGTAGCTGTTCTCCACCATAAAGCATCTTCTCAAAACAATAACCTACTCACTTACAGAAACTACAAAAAGCACTGTAACAATCATCTTGGGCTTTTTCACAGTCAATTCATTCTTCCTTTCTGGTTCTCAGTTCTACCCACATAACTGAACTCTCACAGCTTGTAATCTCACAGCCCCTACAATGCCTTCCACAAATCTCCCAGCATGAGGTAGAAAAGATCATCAAGAGGATGAAACCCACCACCTTGGTCCTTGACCCCTTTCCTACAACTCTAGTAAGAGCAAACGCCTCTGCTTTAAGCCCTCTGATTACCACTGTAACAAACAACTCCCTCCATTCCAGCAATGTTCCAGCTGCCCATAAAACAGCCATAATCAGACCACTCCTGAAATAACCCACCCTCTATCCAGATACACTTCAAATTACAGGCCCATTTCCAATCTCCCATTCTCTCTAAAGTACCGGAAAAAAGTTGATGCCACCCATCTCCAGAACCATCTCAAACAAAACAAGCTTTTTGAGAAATTCCAGTCTGGTTTTCGCTCTGCTCATAGTACTGAAACAGCCCTGGTTAGTCACAAACAATCTACAATTGGCAGCAGATAAAGGCTCACCTTCCCTCCTCGTACTCCTCGATCTCTCTGCTGCTTTTGATACTGTAGATAATCAAATTCTTCTAAACCAGCTGCAAAAAAAATACTGGATTCTCTGATGCTGCTCTGAACTGGACTCAATTATACCTCAGTTATAGAATGGTGTAAATTCTAACAACTTCCCGGCAACAAAAATCAGTCCTTTAGCACGTGCTCTTCATCATGCCCGTCAAGATTCTCAGTCATCCAGGTCATATTTAAAGGTAAAAAAAGAAAAAATCTCCTGGACTTTGTTTCCAAGTTTGAAGATATTTTTCTTCCCATCCAGGATGCTTTTTCAACTCAAAATGTCAGAAACAACGTTGAGTTAGAGGTTTTATACAGAGACATAGACAGGTAGCCTCGTGAGACCATCCTGATCTCGCGAGCTTTCAAGGTTTCACTCGCAGATCAGTCTGGAGACTCTCCGTTAAAGAAAATTTGGAGCCGTTCACCAAACGAACGTCCAATCAGCGTTGGCTTCGAGGCGGGTTGAGGTGTGACGCAACGAGAAGCGCGACAGTTCAGTCTGAAGAACGTGGCGGCTTCAGCCGATGAAATTAGCGTTAGCGTGGCTATCGAGCAAGTTTTATCGGAATTACAGAGTATTTCTTCACTGAAAGAAGAGCAAAACACTGCTCTGGAGGCTTTTCTCAGAGGAAAAGATGTTTTTGCTCTTCTCCCGACTGGTTTCGGCAAGAGTTTGATCTCATCAATTGGCTTGTGCCTGGCTTGTGGTTGTGTTTTTGTCGTCACTCTGTTAGTACGTCATATGCTTCATTGATCTGATTGGTTTATTTGGCCCGTCTATCACCAACATAGGCCAATCAGCTAACCAGTATTTTCGCCCCTTCCCAAAATTACTTCAACGGAAGGTTTCCAGATGGATATGCGGAGCAAATCCATCTGGCGGAGTCAGGTTAATAGACAGGTATAGAACACTGCAGGCTAACAAAGAAGCCAAACAACCCCCATTGTAAAGGGGGTCGTCTGTTTCTATTTGCATGTTTCCTGAGTAAAAACAAGGCTTTGTTGGGCTGAAGTACAGTTTTCCACTTTATCTATAAAATGTGGTGTAAGTCATATCTGTAAAAAACAAGTTTACAATCCGTCAGCGGTGATGAATCAAAGTAATATAACCTAAAACATCCTGAGGTAAAATAATCACACAAAAAAAATATTTTAAGAATTGAAAATAACAATGAAACTAAAACATTATGTCATGAAATCTGCATTAAACATTTTTTAAATGGTTCTAACAAATAACAGAATGGCTTTAAAGTAAAATGAAGCTTCTGGATTTAGTCGCTTTGAAGTAGAAGCTCAAAAACATTCCCTTTGTCTCTACAGTCATTTTAAAACATTAAAGAGACAACACGTGGTGCTGATTCCACTTTTCAGATATCCCACATTACTGGTCCAGCCATTTCAAAAAAGTTAAAAATCAATCCACTGGACTTTGTTTCCAAGTTTGAAGACGTTTCTCTTCCATCCAGGATAATTAGGATAATTAGTCCAGATCTTTTTTCCTCAATAGTTTCAGAAAATTGTTTTCCTTTTTGTTTAATTCTGTCTATGTCTCTGTATAAAGCCTGGAACTCAATGCTATTTCTGAGAATTTTGAATTGAACAATCTCCCTGAATGGGAAGTGAAACGTCTTCAAACTTGGAAACAAAGTCTAGTGGATTGTTTTTTAACCTTTCTGGAATGACTATGACCTGGATGACAGAATCTTGACCAGCGTTATGGTTCAGCCATTAAATGTCAGTCTAAGAAACAATATAAAAACAAGGCGATCGACTCTACCCCCCACCACCACCACCACGTAAACCTTCCAAATATTCGTAAATAATAAAAATTGTTGAGTGTTATGCAGAAACTATATAATAATTTTCCCCCAATACGTGCTTATAATGTAACAGTTTATTTGAGCCGCATAGGAACATGTGGAACATGCAATTATGGATCAGAAAAAATTAAAGATTGGGCCGGAACATTGCTCTCTCCTAAGGTTTTTGGAAATGTTTTTTAGAGTTAATCAATGCTTGATGAAGGGTTACACATCCACAGGTCTTCTGAGAACTTCCTCCGGTTTGGTTATTAACGTCTGTTGCTCGCAGTGGAACATCCTGGTCTTGAGGAAATTTGAAGATGATGTCATGTCAGCATTCAGTGACACTCATGCAAGCACACCTGCTGTTACAGCTCTGGCTGCAACGCAAACAACCCAGGATCTCCACGGCTGTAAGTACCGTGTCAGGGTCATGCCCCTAATCTGTCCAGCCAGGATGATCATGTTTAGAACCCAAGTTTAGCAATATGCATTATTAATGTGGGACCGAATCTGCATGAGGAAAGGATGACATTCAGCTGAAACTTCTGGGCTGATTGGGCAACACTCAGTGACTGCCTAAAAAACTTTGGTTTTTGCCAATCGCAGTAAGCAATGGAAGGAATTAAAACTTGTGCTTTTACGCTCTTGTTGTTGACGGCAGCAGCTACAGGTACGTCCTCCTTCACTGCCATGTTTATTTTGGTTTGGCTGTGGGCGATCTTCCCGTTCCCCTGGTTATGTGTCCCGCCTTAAACCCTACGCGTCATGTTTTGGATTTGAAAATACGGGTAAGTACATCTGCTGCGAGCCGTCTGACTATCCCAGTCAAGCTCCAGTATCTATTATATTTTAAACTTTTGAAATGAAAGGATTTCTTCAAAGTCCTGAAAAGCTCCTAAAGCCGGGCATACACTTTTCGATTTTTTGCGTCGTTGCAAGCAGCTGCAGCTCACACTGTACGGCGAAACCCTGCGCATTCGCCGTACAGTGTGAGCTCACAGCTCCAGATGTCTGTCCGACCCGACGTTCTGATGCGATCTACCTGCTCACACTCTACGTCTAAAAACCAGGTGGGACTCAGCTCCACAGTGAGATGGCGCTACTCGGACTCATCTATCCAGAAGCCAAACGAGTAGCAGAGGAACATGAAGCTCACTAGAGTGAAACAGGCAATTTGTGTAATTTCGTGCTGAAAGCGCTAAAGAGAAAAGGAGACGACGTATTTGGACAAAAACATGGCTGAGAAAACATGGCTACTACGGTCTGTCTGTTTTACAGAAAGAACTCCATTTCACTCATTGCCCCCCCGCCATGCTGCTGGGTTTTCCTCTGAGAGGAAGAAGAAGAATCCTTGTTTGCGTACTGAGCGATTTGCCAAAGTCGCCTTATGACGGCCGACTGAATTTCAAACATGTTTGATTTTCTCCCGACCTTACGATTCCTGATGGGGAGGTGGTCGTTAGAGGCTGATCGCCCCTCGTTACCCCCCGTACAGCTACACCACGCACCATCAGACTGAACATCAGCCCGATCGGAAAATTCTTGTACGACTGGAAAGTCGCCCCGAAAAGGGCAAAAAAATCACGCAGTGTACGCCCGGCTAAAGACGCTGCTGAAAGTAAAGTAAAGTAAAGTAAGTTATCGTGGGTGTTTCTTATCCGGTGTTTTATCTTTAGGGCAACTGCTTCACTTTTATACTCATTGATCAGCTTTGTCCAAAGTTGATCTGTTTTTACTCTGGCCTTTTTGAAATGTAAAAGAAACTTCTCCCGTCGGCTGCTAGCTCCAGGGGGACGACTGGCTAAGGATTCCTGCTTCGGCACCACCCAACCCCTCCATTCACATACACCCCGACACCAGCCAGTGGTTTAATCTAACAAATATGTCTCTCATCTTATCTATGTATTTTATTTTCTCTGTCTGCTAAACCAATTCTTGAAAATGTTTTTTCTGATGAATCTGGACCAATTCTTTCCTTCGCCAGTTTGACTTGAGGAAGGTCAAATGGTAACCAGCAGCACACACTGTAACAACTAGATAACCAGTATTATTGTAGTTCATGGCTATGTGGAGTGTTTTCCAGATCGATCTGACGTCTTTAGGTCAAACTGCATTCCCACGGGTCATCTCAGCAACCCTCAACCGCAGGATCTGGATCTCCAGGTTGAGCTTCTCCCGCTCCAAAAGCAGATTTCCTCTCCTCAGCTCCGTTAGATCCCCGTCTTCAGCCATCACAACACCTTTCATCGCATCGATCAGGCCTGCAGAGGAAGTAGAAGCGGGATATAATCACAGGGAGGTATCCGTATGGGGAAGTGAAATTGATTTGTTAAATATAATTACACTCTTAGCTCCTTTCTTCCAGCAAAAACAAAAAAAGCAGCCAGCAGAATTACCTAAGGAAAAATGTTTACAAGCTTTAACCCAGGATTTAAGACTGCAATAGGGATGCTTTTAAAATCAATTTGTTAATTTCTGCAATACTTGTTTTTGTTCATTTTTAACGTAATGAAAGTTGGACAAAGTTAACTAACTAAATGCACTGCCAAACTGTAAATATAATTAAGTAAATTCTTTCTCAAATAAGTGTATTTTCCCTTAATGGGAGCAGCAATAAAATACAATCTGTTTAAAATAGTATATATATATATATATATATATATTTTAAGTGTATAATATCCAATAATCATGTTCTAAGGGCAAAAATCCTTCTTCTACTGGCAGATGATTTTATTATTTAGCTTCTCACATTTTTAACTAGTTTTAAACTGTTTTTGAAGCAAGTTTTGGAAGAAGCTGCAATCCTGATCCTCGTTCATCCAATCAATAGGCTTGTTTTACATGCTTAAATCATCTCTTTAATATCAAACATGTTGCACTGCAAAAAAGATCTAGAAATAAGTCAAAATGTCTTAAATTAAGAGTGTCTACCATTAATTTGAGTAGGTAAACAAGATGATTCGCCAATGGAATGAGGATTTTGACTCAGTTAAGATAATTAGATAATATAGACTTAAAATAAGACAATAAAATAGTTTTTTTCTTATTTTAAATATAAATTATCTTGTTCCAAGTGTCTCAACTACCTGATTCAAGAAAAATGGACTTATCTAGATTTTTATTTTTTATTTTTCCAGTGTGTTTCATGGCACTCCGCTCCTGCCTTTGATATTGGCCAGCTTAACTGGATTTTAACCATCTTATTATTATATTAATTTCAGTATTTGTACCCAAAATAGCAGTTTTATTAAAATGCTTTTGTAGCAAACAGTTCCAGGTTAAGCTCCTCCTTTATGGAAGAAAAACAGTCTCATTGGAATCTGCCTTTTTTTTTTTAACTGAGTTTTAAACACTAAATTTCTTTAACAACGAATTTTAAACACTGAATTTTTTTAGACATTGAATTCCTTACACTCAATTTTTATCTGGTAAAAATTCAGCTGCAAAAAAAATCAGCTGCAAAAAAATTCAGCTATAATAGATAACTATTATAATCATCATAATCATATAATTATTTCTTTTTTAATTGATTTTTTTTAATTCATTACTTTGATTTTTAAATGTTATTGTTATTATTGAATAATAAATGTTGATGTAAAATATTTTAATATGATTTTATTTATTGACTGGCGACCTTTCAAGCGTGTCAGAAAATGGATGGATATTATTTATTAAAATTATTATTAGAGCTGTTTATATGATCATTATTAAATAATTAAATTGTGTTGTTTAAGTAATGCATTATTAATTTTGATTATGATTATTTTTAAACCTATTTTAATTTTCACTATTTCTGTTTTTGTTCTTTTTTATTATTATAATTTAAGAATATGTCATTTTAAAGTCATGTTAATAATATTTTTTCTTATCTCACATTATCTATTTTAACGATCTCTTTAATTATCATCATTATTATAGCTTACCATCATCATCATCATCTGTTTTTTCAGGCAGACCCCTCAGCTCCACCTCCACAGGATAATGGTCGCTCACTTTCAGAGCCTTAAACAAGGAAAAGTGAAACATTATTATAATGATTATTGAAACTGTTGAATATCTAAATATTCTGCTAAAGAAATCTAAAACAATTAGTAAATTATTTAATTGCTTAAAAATAACAGCAGACAAACAGTAACTGGTTCTTAGCTAAATGCTAATCCTGATGTCATAAATGAGAATAAACGCTCTGAGTGATTCTTCTGTTTCCTGCTGATGAATATAAACAGTTTTCCATGAACCAAATCAGAGAATTTACCGGAAGCTTCACAGAAACTAGTGAAAATGACTCCACACCTGTTCTTCAGAGAGATTATAAGCCTTTTGGAAGTTGAAGGGTTTAGCAGATTGTGGAACAACAGCCTGAAGCATGTCGTCTCCGTAGACGACGATCCTGAAAGAGGGAAGACGAAGAATTAATCCAGCAAACAGCAGAGGCTCACGGATGAAAGGAGTAAACTAAACATTCTGCATCGGTTTTATAAACCAAACCTTTTGGATCAATGTTGGGTTTGCAGGTTTTTCTAAGATGGCTGGTTGAAGCCTACCTATCATATGTGTGTGCGTTCCCGCTGCTCGCTGTGGTGTCCACATCGTCTCCGATCAGCCAGTGGAAGTTCTTGTCGCTACGGATCCGGATAGTTTTCATTTCCTTTTTTGTGAGGTATGAGCCGTCGGCATTAAAGTCTCCCAGGATCATCACGTTCTGTGGCAGAGACGCAGGAAACCATAAAGAGTCTTATTTACAGTGAAGGGGAGAGGAAATTAAGCCCTCCATCGTAATAATACAGTAGCAGCAATTCAAACTGGCCCTTCCCAGTCAACCCCCAGCTGAATGGTCAAGGACCAGCCAAGAAAAGCAGGGACATTTTGAAAGGCTACTATTGTAAATCAGGCTTCTGGAAGCAGCCAAAAGTCTTTTTATGTATCAAATGGGGTGAATGAAAATATTGGCGCCTAAACTGCATTTAAATCCAAAAACATTTAAAAGAAAAAAGCAGAATAAAGAGACCAGTATTACTTCTGTCAAACTGAATTGGAATATAAACATGACTATCTATCGTTAAAGTTGTAGGGAAGCGGCTGTTCCAACCGTTGCATTTCCTAATTCTCCTGAGTGGTGCCCGACTTTACACGACTGAATAAAGTGAATGTGATTGGTCGATTATGAAGGGGGCGGTATTATTGTGGCGGAAGGTTCTCAAGCAAGTTTGGTTGTTGCCGGTTTGTCGGAAGCATCTTGCTAACCAGTTAGCAGCTTAGTGCTAGCAGGTTCCCAATGGGAAATTCCATTGGGACCAAGTAGCACTAAATTGGTGACTTAGAAACGACGCTGTCAAGGAAGGCTATGGACAGAGGAAACATGCAAGAGGAGGAGAGTTTAGTGTCGGAGGTCGTGCATGAGTCTCCTCCGTCATCCATTTTTTATTTAGAGGAGGAAAGCGGGGAGGAAGATGTTGTGGAAGAGGACGCCAGGGCGGCAGAAGCTTGGTTTGGTGTAGAAGGCTTCCAGCCGTACATGATTGAGCCCTTGCCTCGCAACGCTGCCAGTTCTGTTAGCTCTACGCCTGCCGAAGACACAGACGTCCATCCCCGTGAACACTGGGACGGAACTCAATGGGAAAGGAAAGGATTCTGATTTCAACCGTTGCGTATATTAGCTGCGACATATGAATCAAGATGATAAAAATGTGATTGACAGATGACCGTTGATATATTATTGGCTGAATTTAGGTGTTCAGGCTGACGTAGAACTAACTGGCCTGCATAAAATAATGAAAAAAAACAAACCTGCGATGGTCTGGCAGACCTGTCCAGGGTGGACCCCCACCTCTCGCCTGTACACAGCTGGAGCACCAGCACCCCTCTGACCGCTGACATAGGCGTGGTGGAAAATGCATGGATATAACTCCATTAATAAATAAATTATCTTTTTTTTTTTCTTTCTTGTCAATCTTTATTTTTATTTAATTCTCTTAATTTAGCTAATAAAAAGTCTCCTTAGCTGGATGCTGCTGATAGAACCAATACTGACAGCCTGATCTGTGCAGGTCTACTCTGATCAGATATCTGATTAATCAGATGGTAAATTCATCTTCAGGATGAATCTGAGCGGATCAATCAGTGCAGACCAACCCTTTCCTCTCATTATAGAAAGGAGCAGTTTTGTTTTGTTGAGTCCTTACATCAGTCCTCCACTTCTTCCTGACATGAACAAAGACGTCGTAGAGTTCGTCCAGCTCCTTTTCCGAGTCCTCTGGTTTGGTGTGAACTGGGATGATCACCAGATCTTTCAGAACTGGAAGGAGATCAGACAGATATCAAGCTTATAAACATTTTTGCATAGATAATTTTACATTTATAACCACAAGTCATCTCTCACCTGTATTTAGGCACCTGAACCGAAGGATGTACGGATCCCTGGCAAACACGTCCAGCCCCTCGGTCTTCTCATCATCGAACTGGTATGAGCCAACCAGGTCAACCAGGTCGTCCCTGCAAACACAAAAACGCACAACTTTATTTTAAAAGCTGTTTAAAAATAATAAAGCAGATCGGAGATTTAAAGGGTCACTAAAAGCAACGAGTCCGACGCTCTGAGGATACAGAAGATGCAAACAAACAGAAACAGTTAGCCTCTAAAGGCCAGAACACACTGAAAAGGCTGAGTCAGAGCTACAGAGTCTGATGAGATTAAATAAAACGTCTTTAAAAGATTTTCTGTTGTTATGTGACATATAACCCGTTCTTCTTTTCATTTTCATTTTCACAATTAGGAAAATCTACGTTTATATCATTATGGCTGATAATGCATAATAACTATTATTGTATCCTGAAATTAATTAGGAGTAAATCTGGTTTCCCAGAACATTTGATCATACTTTAACCTGGAAACTAGTCTGAGATTTTAGTGCAGCAAGGCCAGGTTTCTGTAGCAATGGTTTCTTTAAAAGCACAGAAAAAAAAAAATCTCCCAAGGAAGACAAATAAAAAAAATCTTAAATCTATCAACTAATGAAATGTTTCTAATCTTCAGTAACTATTTAATACTATATATGGAAATAACAATATAAACCATAAAATTATTTCTCTGTCTTTGTATTTATTAATATTTTTTACCTTTGGTATCATTTCTTTATTTAACAATTTAGTGATTTAGCCAAACCAACAATCAAATAATAAATCGAGAAATGTTAAAAAAAAAACACAAATTCCATCTTAGGAGAACGTCTGTTATTCAGGCTCAGATCCACTACTTTAAGCAGTTTGTGAACTAAATTAGCCTGCCAATGAATGGATGAATGAATGGATGAATGAATGAATAAACAGATGAACGAATTAATGGATGGATGAATGAATGGATGAACGAATTGGTCAATGAATGGAAGAATAAATGGATGAATCAATGGATGAATTAATGGATCATTAGATTAATGAATGGACGAATGAATGAGGGAATGAATGGGGGAATGAATGAATATACAGATGAACGAATTAATGGATGGATGAATGGATGAGGGAATAAATGGGTGAATGAATATATGGGTGAATGAATGGATGAACGAATTGGTCAATGAATGGAAGAATGAATGGATGAATCAATGGATGAGGGAATGAATGGGTGAATGAATATATGGATGAATGGGTGAATGAATATATGGATGAATGGATGGTGAATAGATGAATGAATGGATGAATTATTGATGATGAATGAACGGATGGATGAATGGATGGATGGGTGAATAAATATATAGATGAATAGATGGATGATTGAATGAATGAATGAATGTGAATAATGGATGGATGAAGGAATGGGTGAATGAATTGATGAATGGAGTCTCACCTGTACAGGAACATGAACTGCTCCTTGTAGCGTGTTCGGCCCAGGCGGGTGCTGATTTTCAGGGTGTAGTGATGTTTCCGGTTGGCCCTGAGCGGACACACAGAAATGCGTTTCTCAGTTTAAGTTTGCTCCAAAGAAAAGCCGGAACAAGAAGTTCAAGATGATAGAATTCAAATTTCCACCCTTTATTAAAAGCATTGTTGTGACCGCAGCAGTATGGAAAGTCAATGGGTATATATTTCCATCCAGTAATTTCTGTCACGGTTATCCCAGCTGCGGTGGTGAGGGGTGCTGGTGCCTATCTCCAGCTGTCTATGTGTGAGAGGCGGGGTCAACCCTGGATAGGTCTTCACCTAAAGAGGATCTAGAGAACCTAACAGTCATGTTTTTGGACTGTGGGAGGAAGCCGGAGTACCCGGAAAGAACTCACACATGCTCAGGGAGAACATGCACACTCCATGCAGTAAGCCAGGAATCGAACCCGGAGCCTTCTTGCTGCAAGGCATCTACTATGCTTAGGGTGACCAAACGTCCGTATTTCCCGGGACATATCCGTATTTCACGTCTTGTCCCGGGCGTCCCGGGTTTTTTTTAGAAAGTGAGGAAATGTCCTGATTTCACTGCGCACGACGCTCCGTGTGACGTAATCCCTGAGCCGCGTCAGTGCGGGCAGCCCTGTTCTTAATCAGAGGCTCTGTTCAAAAACCTAGGACGCATCCTCCAAGGACGCGGTCTACCTAGACTGGATCCTTCGAAGTCCTTGAAAATAAGGAGGCCGGAAGAGTTCTGTCTGTAAATTCGAACAGGTCCTCCCTTCGGCGGGTTTTACCGCCGTATGCTCTGTTGCTTAGCAACCGTGAAAGTTGACACACAAAGCAGGAAAAGAATGAATACCGAGGTTTTCAAAACTGTTTGTTTATTTATTTATTTTAAAAAAAGTTAAAGTGAACAAAGACTACACTCCCAAGAATCCAGATTGGAATAAAGGTTCCAACCACCGGGAGCAGGAACAAATAAAATCAAATGTAATGATAGAAACCTTAGTCAGTTAAATAACCTGCTGCTGTCATTCTGCACATCTCTGATGTTGCTGCTATTTTCAAACATCCATCACTATAAAAATGTCTATAGCTGCATATTGGTTATTTATTCTCCAGTTTTATATTGTTAAAACACTTTACAGAATTTTATTTTTTATATTTTAACTCTTCCCTATTATGTTATTCTTATACATTTTTCTAAGGTCCTCATTTGTGTGACCATTTTCAATAATCTTTCTGCTGCTGTAAATTTGCCCATTGTGGGACAATAAAGGGATTTTCTATTCTATTCTATAAAAGGGTTAGAAATATATAAGTAAATCTAAACAATGTATCTACAAAATATATCTGCAAAATCTCTAATATTCAACAACAAAAAATACTTAGTTAAGCATATTGTGCAAAACAACAATAAAAAAATTAAAATCCTATCAGATTTATAGTTCCCACTCTGCAGATCTATTAGAATCTGTCCTTAAATTACAGCCAAACCCATTTACACAGTAACAGATTAAAACCTTTAGATAAATCAAACATTACCGCCACATATCTGAATCAATAACAATTAAAACAACTATTTTCATTCATTTCAGACGGAACTATTCACAGAGTTGTATTATTATATTAAACTGAACTTCAAATTTTCACAATTGTTCTGCGCCAAGTAACATTTCCTCTGATCACGGAGCAAATCCCGATGATGAGACATTTGTTCTTTCAATATCACCCCCCCCCCCGCTCCAAGGTGTCCTGGTTTTCCCAAATGAAAATATGGTCACCCTAACTATGCTTTGATTTTATTCGTTTATTTTCATGTGTTAAGCTTGATCATAAAATGAGAATTTTAATTAAAATATGGGATACAATATACAAGTATATAAAATATACAAAAATGGCGCAGGCATCGCGCAGTGGAGGAGGAGTTACGTGACCAATGGTGACCATCTGTCCAAATGGTCAGTTAACTGAGTTCACTATAAAGTCTAGTAAAGTCCGTGCTCTATACAGTGATGGAGGGATTTAGGGGTTAGGATGGACGTTTGGTTGCAGGGTTGTGCTTGTGTATTATTTTTTTTAAGTGGAGAGGGTGGGGTCTTTTCAAAAATTAGCGAAAATCCTTCACTATACCTTTAATGAAGGATTTCTATGATGTCACTTCCTGGGTTGCTTAAAGTGGACCTTCCATGAAAATCACAGACTTGTCTCATGTTTCTAAGTAGGAAACGTTTGCACTCAGTGGGTGACTGAATACTTTCCCGCATTAGTTCACAGATCTGCGGATTGAGACCCCAGTTTTGGTGTGAATGTGCGCTTTTACTAACGTGTTGATTGCTTTCTTTAAAATTTCCACAGATTTCCCGCTGATGTCCACGACCTCCAGGATCACAATGATGTCATAACGGGAAATGATCTGAAAGAGACAGAGAATTTTAAAAAAACAGGCCATAGATCTGGACTAACAGCTTGATGCATTAGGAATCAGAAGTTTATTTTGTTTCAAGTTTTAGTTTTTTACCTTAACCAGAGTCTTCAGAACATCTGCGTCCGCCACTTTGCTCCGCCCAAACTTCTGAATGTTAAACGCTGCTATTTTCATGGTGCCTGAAAGCCTGGAACGAAAAGCAGGAAACATTTGTCTTTAAATAAGTTTATTGTGTCTGAACATGTACTAAACATGTAACAAACATGCGTGTGTAGCAGGTATTTGTTTAACAAAAGACATGACGTGTCAAAACTGACAGCTTTAACAATCAGTTTGCTCCAGGGAACAAAACAAGGTGCAGACGAGCTCCAAAGAAAACGAGTTTGCTCCAAAACCTTTAGTGGCAGCGCAACGGAAAAACGATTTAGAAATAAGTAAACATTTCTTCATAAATGAGATAGTTTGCCAATGGAATGAGTATTTATACTCTTAGAATGAGATAACTGGATAATATGCACTTCAAGTAACATAACGCTACTGTTTTCTTATTTTAAATCTTAGTTGTCTTGTTCTATTGGCAAAATGTCTCTTTATATCCTCAATTCAAAAACAAATGCACTGATTTTAAGAAAAAAACGACTTACCTAGATTTCAAATTTTTCCAGTGAGGAAGCAGGTTCACTGCAAAAATGACCCCTAAAAGAGAAAAAAAGTCCTTAAAATAAGTGTATTTTCTCCTAATTTGAGTGGGTAATGGGATGATCTGCCAATAGAATGAGTGTATTTACCCTTAAAATAAGATACTCAGATATTATGCAATTAAAATAAGAGACGGCAGTTGTTTTTTCTCATCTTAAAGGTAAATTGTCTAATTCATCTGGCAAGGTATGTCACTTACCTGCTCAATTCAAGAAAAAATGCAATTAATTTAAGGAAGATTTCCTCATTGAAATTTGAAAGTCGTTGTTGGATCCAGGGGCGTCCAGAAATGATTCTAACTTTAGAATTTGACATTCTCTTATTTATTTTTTATTTTTTCCTACTTTTTATTCTTTTCAAATTCCATTTTCCACATTACGCTCTCTGCACTTCTGTTGGAGGGCTTTCCTGAAGATGCATTTCTATTGATATTCTAATTGATAAAAATCCTTTGGCTAAAATGCCATCAGAATGCTGATAATATTAAGTGTGTCTCAGCCCCCCCTTCAGTGTCCACCATATTGGATCAGTCCATTTGCTGCACATGTTCAGAAAGGTCCAAGCAGACAGCAGCAAACCATTTGAAAACAAACCATGCAAAGAGCAGTGTTGCCAACTTAGCGCTTTAGTCGCTATATTTAGCCACTTTTCAGACCCCTCTAGCACTTTGATTTCTAAACAGCTCCTAGCGCCAAATCTAGAGACTTTTTTCTGCTACTGGAGACTTTGGAGACAACATCTAAAAGCAGCGAACTCTGCTCTCCAGAGCGAGTAGATTGGTAACCCCGCCTCCTGCTCTCCTCTATCTTGTCTGCTGTCATGATTCATGCAGCTATTATTTCATCCAAATGAAAAATGGAGAACAGAGAAGCAGATCATGGCTTGTCTACAGTGAAAAGAGGGACTGGGTTATTTACTTTGGCCTTTTTGGAAACACAGGAAGGAGCAATCAGCTAAGTGAGCTTAGTGCTTGGAAAAAATCTTTCATTCCTTTAGAGACAGCATGAAAAGTCAGCTGAGTACAAAACATAGAGAGGAAAACAAGAAGAAAAGGGACAAGAAGAGAGGGACACAACCTAGAACAGATAATGGATGTCTATTCTATTAACATTTCTCTATCTGTAGAATGGGGCTGTTTTATGTGTGGTCTGCTCAATTCAGGGCCCCCTGCCTGTCTTTGCCTAGGGCCCCACATTTCCTAAATCTGCCCCTGACTGGTTCTGGGACACGTTTTTTTTTTTTGGTCTTCTCCTTAAAAATTCAATAACAGTGATTTTCCAAGTAAACTGCAGACCTGCTGCTACATGCTGAATTGTGGTCTTTTGCTGAGGCTCTACCACCACCCACATAAATCAGGTCTGCAGCACCAGTCCCTCCAGTGTTTCCTCATTTACAGCAAATTCTTCTGCTTGAGAAGAAATTCACGAGCTGCAGGCAAACAAGATCTTTTAAACTTTACATTTTCCTGCAGCCTCCTAAAAGCCATAACAGGCATTTGAGTTAGTGTGAATTTATTTGATGAGTTTTTATTAAATATGAAAATTTTTTAGAATTGGTGGTTATGCTGATGAAGATTGTCAGTCATCCAGGTCAGAGTCATTCAAAAAAAGTAAAAAAAAAACAATCCACTGGACTTTTTTTTAAAGTTTAAAGACATTTTTCTTCCCATCCAGGAAGCTTTTTCCTTTCCGCCTGCTTTAGACCGACTCCCTCCTGATCCTGTTATCCACCGTGACACTCCTAATGAAAAACCTCAGCATCATCCTCTCTGCTCGTCTCCTTTCCACTTCCACTCGTTCCAACCATCCTTTAACCCCTTGAACCCTACGGACACACCGGCGGGTCCAGCTGCTACATGACCTCGTAATTTTACCAAACCCCCAGTATTGATGTAAAAAACATATTTGGCACAGTTTGGTGTCATTTATGGATAAATGTGCCAAAATGGCCTCTCCGCCTAAGAAATTTCTCACTAATACCATTCTAAAATAAATATGATTCATCTGATTGAGTCCAAATTTGGTATATTTTTACACAACATTTAGATTTAAAAGTCTGTACTACTTTTTTGTGCTATAAATAATATTTTGGTAGTGTTTTGCAATGTTTATTTCAAAGAAAATTTTGGCGAGGTTCAAAAAATGCAAAATATTTTGTATTTTGTCCCTAATATTTCAGGCAGGGTCAAAGCTACAATGGTGCTGACACCAGAAAACCATTCTATGACATCTTACCTTTACAGAGGTACCAAAAGTTTCTTCTTAAATCTAATAGCTTTGAGGCTATAAGTTATTTACTTTTGTGTGTTTTTGTCAGGCAGAAATTTATTTATACCCCCTTAGGGTGTAAGAGGTTAAGCAGGTTGGAATGAAAGGAGAAGGAATTAAACAGAAAATTAGACTTTGAAATTTGCTGATTTGGGGCATAAAAGTGTTTTAAAAGGTTGATAGTTTTATCCAGAACACACTTTTCTTTGTAAAGCAATGTAGGTTTTTATGTAAAAACTTCTTTTTTACTCTTTTCTAAAGGTTCCCAAAACAAAGATTAAATGCAAGATGTTTGGGTTGTTCAATTTTGAAGGACAACAATTCAAGTGAATAAATATCGGATCTCTGTTGTTGACATTAATTTACATGAAAGGCTTTATGTACTAACAACTTAAGTATAAAACTAAGCGTAAAAAAAAAAATTAACTCCTAATACGCCAGCAGGACTCACTGAACTAAGAGAAAATATTTGTATGCAGCCAACGAGGTACTGACATATTATATATTAAAAAAAAAGATATATAAACACGACTATGTATCTTTAATAATAAGTTTAGTGATAAGATGGAAAAATCATTCGTAATTTATAATTTAAAGGAATTTGTGCATAACTGAACTTTGAGAGGATAACTAGCTGACTAGTTTTTTTCTCTGTTTTTATTAACTGTCTTAAATCTGGGAAGGTTCAGAGGTGAGCCTGGTTCTGCTGGAGGTTTCTTCCTGTTCAAAGGGAGTTTTTCCTCTCCACTGTCGCTACAAGCATGAGTAGCATGAGGGATTGCTGAAGGGTTAATGAGTCGATGCAATCAACTGGTTTTCCTTACATAGAAAACTTTCAGTCTGACTGGATGATCTGGTGAACTGGAAAGTGATCTGAGATGACATGATGTGAATTGGAGCTATAGAAAAAAACTGGATAGAATCCAAGTTTTAGTTTCACCAGAGATCAGTCTAATATGCAGTACCTTACTTTGGATCAGAAGACTTATATTTCTGCCCTCGTTATGTCAGCTGGAGGGATGTTCGCTTAAACAGCAGTTCTGCCATCCTGAAAGAGGAACCGCTGGATTCTAGATTTCCCTCCAGAAACTGTTGGTTCTGGTTTCAGAGCCGAGCCTCCGATCGTACAGGACCGGAGTATTCTGAAGAGCCTGGATCTAATCTCCAACGCAGGCGTGAAATAAATGGAGTTTGAAAGTACTGATCAGACTGTAAGTCCAGCATACCCATAGTCAATACCTTATCCCTTTAGTTTTGTATGAAAAACAGACTTTAAAGTACCTCAATTGGCATGTATCCCTTAAGTCATGTAGAAAAAAACAATTGAATTATTACTTTTTGATGTTTTTTGAAGCGTATGGTGATCCGACCTTAAATTGTTCTTTTTGTACATGACTAAAGGCATACACGCCCTTCTAAAAATCTATTTTTCATACAAAACTAAAGTGATAAATGCAAATCTGACGTCTTGGCATGTGTATTGACTATAGGTATGCTGATCTGACAGAACACCTGTGTTTGGGTGTATCCAAGAAACGTCTCGGTTGGATGGAAGCAGAGAATTAAACCAACAACCTTTAAAAAAATTTACGAAGGGATTGGCGAACATTTATCACAGCAACAAGCTGATAGTTATGGCTCTTTCTTTGATTTTAATCTGAAGCAAAATGTAGATAACAACATTTGTTTTAGAAAACTTTCAGTTAGACAGAAACCTGTCACGTCTGAATCACAGCAGAAAGCTGATTTCATAACAACAACAAGGATGGGGTTTGTTTTCTCTGCTTCAGTCACCTTTTGTTTATTGGTTTTAGCAGCAATTCTAGTTATTTTTGTATTTGTGTGATTCTGAGAAGTTGTCCAACAGGTTTCTGCAGTGATGCGTTGATGCTGCAGCAGATAAGAGCAGGCCAAGACAAACAGACGCACTTATCTGACTGAAATCAGCTTAAACTGTAGGATCACAGTTTGGTCACAGCTACTTTTATCTCAGAAACTGCTTCCAAACAGATCAGAGATTTCCTCATGGGTATATACTGTATATAAATAAAAGATTTAAGATTTAACTGCTGTTGTAAATGATGTTTTAAATAGACTTCCTGCTGACTTCTCTGGGACCATTAGATCTGTACTGTAACACAGAAATAATGAGGTCAAGTTAAGCTTTGGAACCACAAACAGTCTTTTTCATGCAAATGATCTGCAATAGTAAAGGACCTCA